AAAACTTGTTAGCACCATAAGTAATATGAAAATGTAACGTAGTCACATCTATAAAATCCATAGTGGTTCAATCTTTTTGACAATTGGTTATGAGCATGCTTTGATTAAAAAGTGTATTATAAATTAACTACTTTAGGAGTTTTGAGTTTTGTGAAATATACTTTACTTTTTGATTCATAAAGTGTTTTTGTAACAAGAACTCCCTTGCATCCTCCCTGAAAAAGACAACCACTTCAGGTAGTGCTTTGCTGGTCTTGTTCTTTGTATCTGCAGTTTATTTAAAATGCCATTGTCTTGCTTGTTCATTGTAAGAGGGGGGTTTTTCCCTTGGAGGACAGATGGACCCTGTCACTTCTTTCCTTTTGATATCTTCATAGTGCTTGTTGGGGAAACAGTGTTGGAAAATGGGTTGGAGAGTAAATCTTGTACTTTGGAGTTAGGTCTGTGGTTGGGTGTCAGCTCTGTCATCACCTTGCTTGAGTGAAGAGATGCCTGTAAGGAAGCTTTGGCTTCCTCATTAGTTAAATGGAGGTAGTAGTAGAACTTGTATTACAGCATCTTAGCATAAGCTCTGGTGTGTTATCAGTGCTCAATAAATGATGGCTGTGATGAGCTGTAATCATATTTATTGGTCAGTTCTTCTTTCTCACTGTGTTTTTGAACACTTTAATGAAGGTAGAGGGCAAGTCAGGCACACAAGCTTATGCCAGGAATGGGGCCAGGGGGATCATTTTGAGGTTGTTATCCATTAAAAAATTGTCCTTGAGGGACTGGGCTTTCTTATTCGCAGGGGATGACTGTGAGCAAAACAGCAACAAGAAGCAGAAACATAAATAAGGGAGGAAATGACTACTTCACACAGCCTTAGTTAGGTGCAGGGAGCATAGGACAGACCTGTTTTAGGACTGACCTGCTAGAGCATGACATGGGCCTGGAAGGAATTCTCCCCTCTGTGGTCCTGGGTGTCACAACGTGAGTAGAAGCTGGGCTGTCTGTAGGTGCCGCCGCCTGTGTTGGTGACAGCAACAGACGGACCTGTGGCAGCTGCCTGTAACAGCCCTGTGACAGATGTCTGGGCAGTGGGACAACAGAAACCATTTGTTCCTAAACACACAGCCGAGGGCTCCCGAAAGACAATAGGGAGTTTTGAGGGAGTGATCTGAGAAGTAGGAGTTAGTCTTTGAGAAGTACTCGCAAACAAGTAAGTGGACGGAGCATTATTTTGAAAGAAGTACAAAGAGGACAGTTCCTAGAAAAAACTTGAACTAGAGAAAGTAGATTTTCAAAAGTATAGATTTACCTACTATTATTGTGAAATGTTGGCCTAATGTCATTCAGTTCAAGATCGTGTTTGTATCACAGCTACAGGGCTATATCAGTTTATGTTTAATTTTTGAGTAAATCACCCGAAGATATGTTTAGAGGAATTTTGCTTTCTTTGGCCTTCAAAATAAATCTTAAAAAAAATTTATAAAAGACTTCAGTTTTAAATGCAACATAATCCTGTAAATATCTAATTAGTGTGTTCGTAGTTCATTAGTGATTCAGTTTTTTAGTGTTAGCAGTACTTTAGCAATATGCAGAATATATCAAGAAAAACCGTACTGTCCCAAAGCTTAAATGAATAATTATTAATTTTAACAAACCAGTAGGTACTTGAGGATATATAATGGTAAGCATTTTATTTGATGGTTTTCAAAGTATACAAAAAAAGTGCAAAGTACATTCTTATCCTCAAAGAATTTGGAATTAGCTACATAATTGAGCAACTGTGGCCCATAATTTAGGGCCTGGCTGTGGAGCAGGCACTATACAACGTAGACAAAAATGGATAGTTTATGTGAAAATGTCTGGGTGGTGGTAGGCTTTTTCTACCTCATAGAACTCGAGCCCTATCAAGACAAAAATGATGTATGCACATTGAGCAGCATCTTGCTTTGGGAAGTAGTATATAATACACATAATATACAATTGAAGAGCTCTGGGAGGAAGAAAAGGGATGAGATGGCTGAGATTTATAATGGTCAAAGAAGGCTTCTAGGCGGTGGAATCTGGGTGGGGTTTGAGAGGTTGTGAATTGAAACATGGAGAGGGGTGTTTTGAGGGGAGGAATGAGGTAGACACCTATGTGAGTGATAGAATAATTCTTAGTCCAGCCTATAGAGAGTGGAATGTTCATATTTAAGAAGTCTGGAGTTAAACTGGGGCGGGGGGGGGGGTCTTGAAAGCCAGGCAGTAAGGCATGACGGTTTTTAAACTGTAATAGTGACAATAGTCTAGCCGAAGGCTGATAAAGGTTGAAATTGGGGTGATACTGCTGGGAGATAGATACAAGGTTATGAGATTGTAGAGTGGATAGGACTTGTTACTGGCAGAGAAGATGAGAAATAAAGAGGTGTTGATTTGGGGTGGGTAGTTATGTAGATGTCTTGTTAGGTCCGCTTGGTCCAGAGCTGAGTTTGAGTCCTGAATATCCTTGTTAATTTTCTGTCTCATTTATTTGTCTAATATTAACAGTGGGGTGTTACTATCTTCCACTATTATTGTGTAGGAGTCTAAGTCTCTTTGTAGGTCTCTAAGAACTTGCTTTATGAATCTGGGTGCTCCTGTACTGGATGCATATGTATTTAGGTTAGTGAGCTCTTCTTGTTGCAGTGATCCCTTTACCATTATGTAATGTCTTGTCTTTTTTGATCTTTGTTGGTTTAAAGTCTGTTTTATCAGAGACTAGGATTGCAATCCTTAGCTTTTCTTTTGCTTTCCATTTGCTTGATAAATATTCCTCCATCCCTTTGTTTTGAGCCTGTGTGGGTCTTTGCATGTGAGATGGGTCTCCTGAATACAGCACAGGCAAAGTAGATTTAGTATAATTCTTAAGGGTCCTGTGATTTTTAGAATGGTAAATGAACATTGGATGTAATTTAAAGTCACCAGCCGCATTCGCCTTTAACAAGAGAGTTGTGCCTGTCCTTTGAAGCTTTTTTTTTTTTTTGGAGACAGAGTTTCGCTCTTGTGGCCCAGGCTGGAATGCAATGGTGCAATCTCGTCTCATTGCAGCCTCTGCCTCCCGGGTTCAAGCGACTGTCCTGCCTCAGCCTCCTGAGTAGTTGGGATTGCTGGTGTGCACCACTCCACCTCCTAGGTTCAAGTGATTCTCCCACCCAGACTCCCAAGTAGCTGAGATTACAGGCATGCACCACCATGCCTGGCTAATTTTTGTATTTTTAGTAGAGAGGTAGTTTCACCATGTTGGCCAGGCTGGTCTTGAACTCCTGAACTCAGGTTATCCACCCGCCTTGGCCTCCCACAGTGTTGGAATTTCAGGCGTGAGCCTCCGTACCTGTCCCTTTGAGGCTTTGAAGCCAGGCATTGACTCCTCTATCTATTTAAGTTCTAGATGGCATCGTCTTCTGGTATGTATAAGGTGGTTTCCTCCACATTGAAAATCTGTTGTTTAATGTAGCCGCCTTCATGAATGATCTTAGCTAGATTTGCATAATTTGCAGCAACTTCTATTAATACATCAACAGGACTTGCTGTTTCACCTTGTACTTCTCTCTTATGGATACAGTGGCTTTCCTTAAACCTCATGTTGCTAGAGGCCAGTTTTATTCTGCAGCTTCTTCACCTCTCTCAGTCTTCATGGAATTGAAGAGAGTTAGGGCCTTGCTCTGGATTAGGATTTGGTTTAAGGAAATGTTGCTGGTTTGATCTTCTATCCAGACCATACAAACATTCTCCATATCTGGAGTGTTTTTTGTTTTCTTATCATTCTTGTGTTTGCTGTTGTAGCACTTTTAATTTTCTTCAATAACTTTTTCTTTGCATTCCTAATTTTCAGCTTATCTTAGCTTTCAAAATGCCCTCCTTACTAAGCTAAATCATTTCTAGCTTTTGATTTAAAGTGCGAGGCATGCAGCTCTTCTTTTTTTTGAACACTTAGAAGCTATTGGAAGGTTATTAGTGGCTTAATTGCAGTATTGTTGTGTCTCAGGGAATAGCGCAGCCCGAGGAGAGAGACAGAGAGAGAGAGAGACAGGATCAGCTAGCCAACGGAGCAGTCAGAACCCACACATTTATTATGTTCACCCACTTATGTGGGCATGGTTTGTGGTGCCTCCTAACAATCACAGTAGCAACATCAAAGATCACTGATGACAGATCATCACAACAGATATCATAATGAAAAAGATTGAAATGTGAGGATTACCAGAATGTGACACACAGATTCAAAGCGAGCACGTGCTGTTGGAAGAATGCCACAGATAGGCTTGCTTAGCACTGCGTTGCCATAGAACTTCAGTTTGTAAAAATGCAGCATCTTTAAAGCACAACAAAGTGCAATAAAATGAGGTATGTCTATAGTAGTATGTTAAACAGAAATTAATAAACACTTGGATGTTATCAGAGCAGCAGGATTTAAAACTTCTTAAAAGTCCTGGGTTTTTTTAAAGGACTTTTTTCCTCCTCTCATTTGCTCTCATTCAGGGCATTCTGTTTCAGCTATTGTCTGACAGTGACTTATACTGATTTTCAAAACTTGTTTAGGTAAAGACTACTAGCATATTTTAATAAAGTACAAACATGTTGCTGTTTAACTTTATTACTCGTTTTTCATTTTAGAAAGGAATTAGATGACATTTTTCTGGGAAAGTGGTTTATGTGGAATTTCAGAGCCCCAAGCCTGCCTAGTCTATCTTGAGCGCATGTTATCTATCACAGCCTATGGACTTTGTAGGCAGCGTAGCTCTGGGTAAGTCCCAGGAGGAATGAAGAGAAGGCAAGGATGAAGCATAGGGAGACCATGCTATAGTGAAAATGTAGACTGGCACAGTGGCTCATGGCTCATGGTGGCCTGTAATCCCAGCACTTTGGGAGGCAGAGATGGGAGGATCACTTGAGCCCAGGTGTTTGTGAGACCAGCTTGGGCAACATAGTGAAACCCTCATCTCTACATTAAAAAAAAAAAAAAAAAGTTGGGGCGGGGGGACGCTCCTGGGAGACACTTAAGTCTTGGGAGTTTGATTGAAGTAGACGTTTGATTGGATCTGAAAGTTGAGAATGGCAGCAGTTGGTCCTGAGCAGGCCAGGCTGACCCTACAGTCAGGAAATGAGGTTTGCTAACATAGTCTTCCTTCCCATTTTCTGCTTTCATGATTTTTTCATCTTCCCTTTCCTTCCTCTTCTCCAGGACTTCCATCTTGGAGGAGCAGGAATATGGTTTATCATTTGAGAGTGGTACAAGTTAGCAAACACAGAATATCTGTTCTTCTGGTGCTGTATTCCGGGAGAAAGCCATAGACTCTTCCTCTTAGGGAGCTGAGATAGGATAGCAGGGAGGCAGGAAGGTAGAAATACACATGTATTCTGAGTGCCAAGGTGGACGCCTGCATGTGGGATTGTTGATACAGCAAGAGAGGGAGTGAGAGTTCTCTTGGGGGGGTCTTGAGCTGAGCTTGGAAAGAGGAGTGGGTGTTTTGCTGTATCTTATTCCTGTTTGGGACAGGAAGATTAATTTTGTCCTGGTGCCTGGTAGATAGAACTATGAAGTTATCTTAGAAATGTCAATAGGTAATGATACTTATTTCAGATGTAAGAGAAGTGTGCCAGAGTTGAGGCATTAGAGTTCATCCCTAGTGGCGATAACTTTGGGTGTTTTGAGAAATCGGAGGTCTTCCCTTCTCTTTTACCCTCCTCTTATTCACACTAACTGCCACATGATAGTACGTGTGCCTGGTCACTTGATGTTGCTGAGGTCCACATGCCACAATCTAGGCTTCACTCTGATAGGTCTTATCGATATCTGTATGTATCTCTACCCCCGCTACTTACATGGAAAATGCCTTGAGTTCTTTGAACTGCAATGCTTTAGATGTGGCAGGTGCTCAGCAACTATCTCCTGAATTGAATTAGTTTGTTTTAAAGTGATTCTTACTAGCAGCACATCTATCATAAAGGAAAATTTTGGGACAGTAATCCGAATGACTCAACCACCCGGTGATTTGAGTATCCTGCATTTGCTCAGGGCTGTGATGGTGCAGTAGAGAAAGAGAATATAGGGCCTGATCGTCAGGCTGCTGGAGGGTTGAGTTTCGGATATTCCGATGGGTTGCAAAAAGGTACTGTGCTTTCCTGGGATCTTTCAAATTGTAATCAGCCTTTTATGTGCCTGTCTGACCCTTGATGTTAGGATTGTTTGAACTGATATTTTTTGAACATTTTCTCATGTTTATTGGATGTGGGGGGCAGCAAGTCAGGCTCACCTCATTGCCTTGTAGCCATCATTTACACTTGATCTTAGCCAAAAGGCCAAGAAGTGATTTAGCTGTCATTTAATAATGAGCTCCTAAATATGACTCAGCCGATCCGTTCCACATTGTTCTGTGAGGTAGACGAGGTCTGACAGTTGTGAAGCGGCTTGTGCAATGTCTCTTAGATGTTGCTTTCCAGTTCTTGTCGAATGTGGGTTCCCGTCTACCAGAGGAGGCTGGTTGCTGGAAAACACATGAAAACATACGCACTTTGCTGTTTTGTTGTCTTTCCTTTCTTTCTCTCTCTTCTCATGGCATGCTTTGAAACAGATTAGAGTTGTGTTTGGCTTCAAATTGCTGCAGTTGCCCATCAAGGTAGTGCCATGGTGTAGGGTTAGCAGGGGTGCTGTTGCAGAGAAGACAGTGAGTCTGGTGCTCAAATGCAATGTGACTGAGTGCCCCTGAAGCCAGGGAAGGGCTTACAGGCAAGGGCTGTCTGTCAGCCTACACACATTGACTGCAGGTTTGAAAGTGCTATGTGAAGCTTTTGTTTAGAATTCTGACTTGGGCCATTCATTGTGGTATTACTGGAAAAAAAAAAACCTGAAGGAAAAACATAAAAAAGCTTGGCATACACAAATCCATCATCTGACATCAGGAAGGTTATGGGGAGTCAGGACCAAGCAAAGGTTCTTAGATATGGTAATTAGAAATCACCCCATTCTTTCATTCATTCATCATAATGTACTGCCCTGTCAGAATCACCTAGGGAGCTTTTTTCAGAGTACGCTGGGTACTGCATCCCTGAGGGATGTGTGTTTCTGCTGTCCTTCATTCTCCCAGGTGCCAGTTACTGCTGGTAGTTAGAGGTGTTCGTGATTCTGCCTCTGTAATGGTATGGAAACAGAAAAAAGGCTTAGAAAGTGCTAAACAAGATTATTTTTAAGGGCCCTTCCTGCCCTGTGACTTGTATGTAGAGAACAGAATTGTTCTTTGATCTCCTTGGGCTTTATTGACAGGGTGAGATAATTGATTAAAGAATAGTAGTATCTTTTGAGCAAGATTTTGGGGTTGTCAAGATGGTACATGGAGGCATATTGCTTCTTGACTGCTGAGTAGGGTAGTGCTCTGATTTTACTGTTCATGGCAAGAACAATGATTTGGCTCTTGGTTGAATTTCTAAAATTTTAAAATTAGTCTTTCCTAGTTCCTTTATTATGTGGAAACATTAAAAACAGAAAAATCTGATGATTACATTCCAGTTTTATTAGCATTATTACTTATCTTCAGACTGTCCTTTGTCAGACTCTCGGGCAGGGTATTGGGCTCATTCAGGGAACTTTTAAAGTTATTTGTATATGAAACATTGCATAGCTATGTCATTATTTAATTACTATGCAACAAAGCATAGCATTGATAACAGAAGAGAGAAGCATGCAAAATATTTCACAGGGATAAGCATGGAGATGAGTAGGTTCACTTTGAGCAAGTTAATGACTAAGGCAGGGAAGGAGAGTGACCTCTCCTTGAAGACATTTTTGTCTAGTTGTGCTTCGCTGGATATTACCACAGTATGGCTTTCATTGTGAGGATTTAGTTCTACTTGGGAAATATTACATGTCTTCCTGTGTACGGGGCTGTGATTGGAAGCAAGTTTTCATCCTTCGATTATTTCTGAAGCTATTAAACTATAGCAATAGTTGGTTAACTAAGAATTTTATTAATGGTTATGATTTTAAAATGAACTTGATCTTTATAGATTATGAAAAGAAATTGAGACGCTGTCTTCCATCTAAAAGAAGAAAAGTAGAACTAATTAGATCATTTGGCTAAGGTAGGAATAACTGCACCTGAGAAATACTTGTAGAAAATAATAGGCCAGTAAGCCCAGCTGGGAGGAGAGGAATGAGGAGATTGAATTGGTATGATTCGGATCCTAGGAGTAAACTGAGGATCAGAGTAGGGGTAGAGCTATCTTGCCTTACTTTTTTCCTCCTTTCTGCAGATGAGGGTAGCTACATTTTCTTTGAGCAGATGGTTGAACTTTAGATTGAGGAGCTTTAACCTTACCAATTTTTCAGAAAAATGAATCTGCATATATAAATACCTCCATATCCTACCTTTTGTTGGCAGGCATATTCATATTACGTGTGTGTGTGTGTGTGTGTGTGTGTGTGTGTGTGTGTATGTATGTGTGTGATGAGTTGAGGAAGGTTGACTCTCTTGTTTGGAATGGACACACCCCCACCCCCACACCTACACCCACACCCCTTTTCTGGGTATATTTGTGATGTAAGCAAGGAATTAAGAACTGGTAAGAAGTGGCGAAAATATACATTGAGTGATAGTCATGTAGTTATGCTAAAATTTTATCTTCCCATTTCAGTTGGAATAATTTCATTAGCAGTGCCTTAAGCAACAGGATATATGATTGAATTTTCTTTTAGTGAATTGCCTAGTTACATCGGATCCAATTAAGTTTTGCATATGTTATCAGTAGCATTAAATGAAACCAAGTGTTGTGTTAAGTACAATTAGTTAAGTTACTTTAGTAAGAAATAACTTGTACTAAATATATATTGTGCTAGTAACTACAGCAAATAGAAGTCTTCCAAAGTATAGTTTATATGTAAAACATGGAATGATTATTCAAATTTATTGTTAATATCCATACATTTTCTCATTAAAATGCCTATACAATTTAGTATTTATATAGGATATTATGGGATTGTTGTTTTAAAATTTCTTAGCAAGGCCATAGTAAAAATAACTATGGAACTAGAAATGAGTATTTCTGTTCTTTAAGGGTGAAAACTTTTTATTATAATCAAGATTTTTAAAGTCACATAATTATGAAATGAATACAAACTTTGTTAAAGGCTGATAGTCTTTTGCTTAAAGTCTGTTTGAAAATTACAGTGTTCTTAGTAAGATTTGGTGGAAATATAAGTGTTGGTGTGATAATTTTGTGTTCTGTTCTGCTTGTCAATAAAAATATTTTAAAATTTAAAAAGAGAGCAACCCAGATTTTCTTAAAAGCAAAAGCCAAAATCAACCAACCACAAAGCAAAAAACATACAACCAAAAACAACCCTAGAGTGCTGGAGTGCTATGAGAGCTGGCAGAGGGTCTCTAGGTTGTGACTAGCTATCTTGTTGCTGAGTGGTTTACCTACCGTGGGCCTTTGTTCCCTAATTTGTAAAATGTGGTTGGCACGATGAGTTGTGACATTGAAATTGGTAATTTGCAAGCATATTTTTCTTCTGTTCGTTGTCTAAGGGATATGACTCTGTGATTGGCTTTCTAATCTCTACTCAGTTCATCTAAGTGGAGTTTGGTGTTGAATTTCTTTTATGTGACATTATTTAGGAATAGATATCCTTAGGCTACTAGCTGAAAAATTATAAACCTAAAATTTTTATTTATGTTTAAAATTTTAGGTATGCTATACCTCCAGAGCATGGAAAACGACTTGAAAGACTAGCTCAAGGTAAAACTTGCTTTCTTTATTTGTTTTCTGTGTTTTACATGTTTCTGTGTTTTGTAGGTTCTTTGTTTTTGAGGTACTTTTTACTCTGTTGGTTTTATTCTATTCAAGTTGTTGACTTCTACATGTTTTTTTTTAATTGAACAATTTTAAATTTTTTCACGTTAGTTTGTGAATATTATTTTTTCCCTGTTGCATAATCATCATGGTTATTTTGGTTGACTGTTTAGTATTTCATCAAGTGATTGCCCTTAATCTGTTTTGGTTGTTTCTAAAAAAATGGTTTTTAATGTAATGTATTTGACATCATTGTGCCAGTAATTTTTTTAAAAATTAAGTTACATTCTTCCAGACAGCATTGTTGCTGCATCTTGGGGTACGGTTGTTTCATGACTACTTTTTCTTTTGATCTACTGTTTCCCCCAAGGGTTATGTCACTGCCGACACCCAGTTCTTCCGTGGCCCACTGGGACTGGGAGTGTGCCCTTATGGAAGTATGAAGGTGAATGGCTCCGAGTAACAATACACAAGATTTTGGGCCTTTTTGGACTGGCAAAATTAAACTTACTTTACTGCAGGTTGAATTTTTATTTTTCATGGCCTGCTGCTTCTTTATAAGGGCCAGACTAAGGAACTTTTCTGGACCTTTATTGATTGTCCTGTGTCTGCTTTTGTGTGTGCAGACAATGCCAGTGCAAGCAGCCACCTTCCTCCTTCCTCCTTGTTTTTAAAGATACGCCAGGCAGCCTTGCCCTCATCTGCTTATGTATGGGAAGCAGAGTCACATTCACCCCCTGCCATCCTTATTTTCTGTTTTGCTAGCCACCCTTCCAGAAAGAAGACATAGGCTGGTAGTGAATTATTTCCAGGGAAAAGTGGAGTTCCATTTGAGTGGCAATTGAGGAGCAAGGCCTTCTGCCTTTATCCAGGATTGAGTCCTCAGCGAGCAGTGCTCTTTTAGTCCAGTGCAGGTCTAAGTTTCATTAGTATGTTAGATTTGCCTTCTATTAGGAAAAGAATTTTGTTCCTGCCTTATATGTGCTTTCAATTAATAATGAAATGGAGACACTGAGAAACCTCATTCCTTGACTTGACAGTTTTTAACAGAAGCTGTTAATGGCACCTAAAGGTTACTTTCCCCTAAATTACAGAAGAGTATTAGAAGGAACAGTTATAGTATTGCATTTTAAGAAGCATTATTATAATTTTGTCAGGCTAATAACTATAAAGCGTCTTTCTAAAAATGTAATACATTATTATAGTAGTAATAAAGATTGATGTAATCTTGAACTTTGTTAGGGACTGTTTTCATGAATAGATTTTGGATAATAGATTATAAGATGATCACCATAACCCTTAACTACATAGGCAGTGAACTATGTGTTAACACTATATACTCAAGTATCTTCCTCAAGTATCTTCTTCTGTAGTAAAATTTTTCCACCATTTTCTATTAATCTTCCTACCAGAGAACTTTTAAAATGAAGCCGATGTAAACCTTGCAATATTGAGTCACAGATTAAAATTTCTGATACAAACTTCTAATGCTTTGAAGTAAACTGTCTGAAAATAACATTCCAGAAAATGGTTACCGTTTGTTTAATCAGTAAGAGGTTAATGAATTTGAAGGATGAACAAGAACTTGAAATCAATTGGCTGTTTATTCAAAACTGTTTTGCAACAATATTTTGGGAAATAAAGCAGGGGAAAGACCCTACAAGATAGTGAAGGATTTGTATCTGCTGACCAGATGCCAGCCAAATTAATTGAATTCTGCTAAATAATTAAAATGATAAAATAATGCAGTGTGAATGATGGCCTATTGTGGAATATCTAGCTCATAGCAACACTTGATACGTAAAATGAAAAGTAGGCTCAGATATTTTCCATTATCTTGTCTGTGCATCATAATTATCACACTTGTCTTTTATGCGTGAATGCTTTCATCTTTGGTTTCTATTGAAATCTTGATTGACTGTGGCACCTACAAATATTTTATCTGAAAGACATTAGGCCTGCATCTAATAAAGCCAGGAGTTTGATTTTGCCCTTCAGCTGCTTTCTCATTTATACAGGTTTTCCCCAATATTATGTAGACAGAAATGTAATAAAAAATCTCAAGTGAATTGTTACAATTTTTATACTTGTTATAGTCATCTGTAATGCCATTGCGTTCTTTCTAATTTTTGGTTTGATACAATTGCATTGCAAATATGGAGGAGAAGGGAGGTATAATGTTAAATCATGAATGACAGTTTGGAAGATTTTCAGTTTTTAAAATGTCTAAATCTCACCTATTTTAGAAAAAAGGTAATATTGCTGTTATATTACATTAAGCAAAATATAGATTAAGGTAAATTGAGAAAGTCTGCAGATTTTTGTGGAAAGTAGTATTTCATTTGTCCTTTATTGGGAATAAAATGCTATTATTTTTAAAAAAACTGAAAAGGATTTACTTTGAAAATTTTGGTTACTTGGCCAAAATATGTGATTTAGGACTTTGTGCAGCCAGTTTTGAAAGTGTGAATGATTAGGAGGAAACTTATTTCAAAGAATAGTATAGTGGAAGTGAGTCAATTCTTTTAGATCCTTATATTTACTTGAAACAAATGTTTTGATTTTGTTACCTTATTAAAAAAGCAGTATTCAGCAAAAGGGAATAGAAGAAACATTGCTACGAAGGGTTAGTTTAGTTCATGCTTTTAAGCATTTGTGTGTGTGTGTGTGTGCACGTGCACGCACGATGTAGAATATTTTTAATGACTAGTAATCTTGATTTTATTCCTGTGGAGTAGAAGGTCACAGCCCAATTTGCAGGGATCCCTGTGCCAAGGGGTAAAGGTCTGTGGGTGGGATGCAGGCAGGCATTCTATGAACTCTTTGAAATTGTATTCAAAATTGGACATATATGTAGATTTCTGGGAATGCCATCATCAAATCCCCTGAGATGGTTTGGCCCAAAAAAGATTATGAGCCTCTGCTGTCAAGAGAATAAAAGAGCAGCAATAAATAAATCATTTTAATTTTATGACCAGATTCTAAATTAACCTGCTCTCATACCTCTCTCTTGGAATTAGGGAAATGTACTTTTATTAGCTCTCAAAATGGTAAATATTGTTCCCTTAAGCATTCACTTAGCTGATAGTCTGAAATATTATATTAAAATGTCTAGTTTTGAAAGGCTTATAAATAAAATACCTCTGATTACAAATAATCAATTTTAAAGTGCCCTGTAAGCCATACAAAATGCGAAAGACCAGTGATGTATCCTCTGCCTTCGTGCCTCACTCATGCCTTAGGCATGGAGATCAGTGTGTGGCAGGTCAGGGTGTGTTTGTTTTTGTCTATCAGCTGGGTTTCACTATGAGTAGGGAAATAGTTGGTAAACTTAATTTCTTAATAATTTAATGTCAGTGATATCACTGTCTGTATTTAAATGTAATTGGATAATTTATATCCAGCCATGTTCCTAGTAGGGTTTTAGACATTGGACAATAATACATGAAATACACCCAGATAACATAATTCATATGTGAGTGAAAGACTTTTAGTTTCCTTCTCTTAACTGAGAATGGAGAGGAAGAATTCAGGAAATGAATGCCAACTAATAGGGAGGAATTTTGTGGAAATGAAGATTTCTGTGATTTGAGGGGATGGATGGGGCTGGGCAGAGGCAGAGCCAGAAGAATCCTGGTTAGTTTAACTCTGACCTGTTTGATCCCAATGTTCTTGGCTGGGGGAGTCCTTGGTGACTTGCGTGTAGATTATCTATGTGACATTTCAAGGGGGTGGGAAGTGAGAGCTGAAATAAAGTGGTCTCAGGAATGCAGTAAAAAAACCATGCATTTAATGATACACATACCAGTTAAATTGGGTGGAAATTTTAACTCTAGGTTTTCTGCTGATTATCTTGAAATGGAAAAAACTTGCCCATTACACAATGCACACCATGTCTAGGAGATTAAAACAAGCCACTTGCTTAGGAAAAGCACCATTCTTCTCTATCCCAAGATCAGTATGAAGTTCTCCTGGCACTCCTCCCGGAGAGCCCTGCAGTGGAGATGTTGATGGATTATGGGACGTTAGGGTTGAGTGAGGCCTGGGAAGTGATAATTTTCTATCCAGTCCTGAGTAACCACTCCATGAATGATAGGAAGTACCAAGAGGCCAAATGTAGTAAGTGCCTCTCGTGTCAATCTCTCAAATAGAGATGTGGGTAAATGTTACTAGGTTTCTCCCCATATAATATAGGTCATTGGTTCTTTTCATAAATAAGCTTGCCAAGAAATTTCATATGTAAATCAAATACTGTACGTCTGTTTCTGAAAGCGTTTTCCACTGAACCAATTTTCTATATCCATTTGTTGTATTCTTTTCCTTAGCATTTGTTTATATGGTTAATATATTTTTTCAGGTCTCATCCCGGTCATATATAACCATGATAAAACTTCATCAATGCATACTTGGGGCAAATTTCAATTATCAAATAAAATTGTCAATAAAATGTTTTTACTAGTTTGGAAATAGATCTACATGTTTGATTTCTCTTCCCTTCCTTCTCCTTTGTTCCCTGTCTTTCTCTCCCCTTTCCTAAAAAGTTAACGGCTGTCCTCATCTTTGCCAAATTAGTGTTTGTATACCCATAAAAAAGTCACTAAGTTTTGATCTTAAAATCTTTTCTCAAGGCTGAAATTTTTGGTGATTTAATACTATAGCGTGTGTTTGTATTTGAATCATAAAAGATTGGGATTTAAAAATAATTTCTTAGTTAGCAATAGCAAATACATTATAAAATATAAACCAGTTGACAGTATGGAGAACTTTTCATTGGAAGGAAGGAACACACCTGTTTCATATTTTTAGAACACATCTACTCTATTTCAAAAATAGTTTCAAAATATTTAATGATTTTTTTGAGTCAGTTTTATTCAGGTAAAATCTACAGTAAAATTCACTTATTTTAAGAATAGAGCTCATTGAGTTTTGACAAAGGTCTACAGTGGTGTAACTAATAAACCACATGATAAGCCACTGTTATCAACCTGTAACACATTTCTAGTACCCCAAAAAAGTTCCCTCACCCCTCTTTGTACTTAACTGCTCTTCCCTTTGCTGGCACGCACTGGTTTCCCTAGTTTGTGTCCCTATAGTTTTACCTTTTCTAGAGTGTCATGTAAGTGAAATCATACTATGTGTAGACTTGTTTTTTTGCTTTTTTTCACTTAGAATAATGCTTTTCACACGTGCTCACTTTTACATTGAATGTGAAACATCCTTTGGATGGGTATAGCATGTGATCTTTGAGAGATCTTATGGGATCCTGCACACTTCTCTGTGTTGCAGAACTCTCAGCAGCACTTTGGTGTTCTTAGGAAAGGTTATTGTGGATTGCTTTTAGGGCTCTGTTGGGTTCTCTGGAATACAAGCTCTTTATTATCCTAGCCTTCCATCCCTCTAACTTATTATTTGGTTTGGAAGAATGATTCCAAAGACCATCTTTGCTTGCTTGATCCTGTATAATATCTTAAAAAAGACCCCCCCAAAAAAAAAAAGACAGTTGACTTTAGTATGGCAAAGAATTGACCATGTTTTATAGACTGTGGAGTGAGAGTGAGTATGAACCGTGTAGCCCCTGCAGGTACTTTGAGGTAAAATTCATTTTAAGGCACATACTTTGTACATAAGATGTGTTGTTTATGAAGTGTTTTTCAGGACTATGTAAAATACGATTCTGATAGCATATTGTAAATATAAACTCTGAACCAATATGAAGTTCTTAATACACTGCAAATTACGTTCCTTCAGTGGTTTTCCAATTTAAATTAGCTTATGACCAGTCACCACATTGTTCAGGACCTGATTACAAATCCTTATCAAAAGAAAATGGAATAGATACTTCTTTCTTCACTGATTTTAATTTAAAACTTAATTCATCTAGTGTTGCAGAAAATTACAGATTTGAGAAGTTTGATAGATCCATTTGAATTGTTTATAAAAACGTTCCCATGGATTGTGCATCTGGGGACTGCCCATTGGTGCCCTTCTCTGTGTGTAGGACTTACAACATCTTGTGGTATGGACATGGCCATTATGTTAGTGTGTTACTTTTCCTCCACTCACCAATGTTTTATTTTGTGTTTGTGTATTATGAATATTGACCATAAGCAGAGGGCTGCATTATTAAGAGACATATATGGCAAAACTATGCTTCTTATTGCTATTAATATTGTAAAGAATTAACATTTCTTATGTTTTCTTCCTTCCTTCCTTCCTTCCTCCCTCCCTCCCTCCTTCCCTCCCTCCCTCCCTCCCCATTCCCTCCCTCTTCCCTCCCCCCTTCCCCCCTCCCTTCCTTCCTTCTTTTCTTCCTCCCTCCCTCCCTCCCTTGTCTGTTGCCCAGGCTAGAGTGCAGTGGTGCAGTCTCAGTTCACTGCAACCCTTGCCTCCTGGGTTCAAGCAAATCTCATGCCTTAGCCTCCCGAGCAGCTAGCTGTAGCCATGCACCACCATGCCTGCCTAATTTTTTTTTTTTTTGAGAGGGAGTCTTACTCTGTCATCCAGGCTGGAGTGCAGTGGCGTGATCTCGGCTCACTGCAACTTCTGCCTCTGGGTTTCAAGCGATTCTCCTGCCTCAGCCTCCCGAATAGCTGGGACCATAGGTGTGTGTCACCATGCCTGGCTAATTTTTTTTGTATTTGTAGTAGAGACGGGGTTTTACCACGGTGGTCAGGCTAGTCTCGAACTCCTGACCTTGTGATCTGCCTGTCTCGGCCTCCCAAAGTGTTGGGATTACAGGCATGAGCCACCGCACTTGGCCTGTATTTTTTAGTATAAACAGGGTTTTGCTATGTTAGACTCGTCCCAAACTCCTGGCCTCAAGTGATCTGCCCGCCTTGGCTTCCCAAAGTGGTGGGATTACAGGCGTGAGTCACCGTAAGTGGCCAAATTGGTCACGTTCTTGAGTTGTTTGCATAGAGAGATCCACAGAATTAGATGTCACATTTCCAGCAGTTTCCCCCCTCATTTTGGTGGTGGAGGAGTCAGACAGCATCTGCTCCTCTTCCTGTCACTCATACGCATTGCATGTGCCTTCCTGGTGCCTTCTGTCTTCCTGCTGTGTTTTACCTCCATGATTCTCTGTCTTTTCCTTGTTTCTTGTTGTCTTCTTGTTTTTCAAATTCCTTCAGCACGACTCCCTTCCCTTTGAGTGGGGAAGGTGTGAGCAGTGCATCAGGCATGTTCATTTTCCTCCAGCTTGCATCACTGAGTTAATGAGAGTCTACCTCAGACAGAACTGCAGGTTTGAAGTCAGTGATGGAGAAAACTGACTCTGTCTTGGCGTATAATATACTGTTGAATGAAAGGGTTGCTGTATGTTTAAATTCCTCATTTAAAAGCCCCCTCAAAACACTTCTCCCATTCAGGCTGTTCAGGCAGGTTCTCAGACATTTGATAGGTGATGGCTGGGGAGTTCATTCAGGAGATTAGTAGCAATTAGTTTCAGATTGATCAGAAAAGAAACAAAGAAAGGTGGGGCACTACTCTTGTCTGCTGTGTGCCGAGGACTGGGATGAGTGCTTCAGGAATGGTGAACTCTAGGAGTCTAAAATATTCTTCTGTTAAAATGCATACTTATCTTTCCTTTTTTGTTTTTTTTTTCCTGTATTTTTAGCTACAGATCCAGCATCCCATGTATTTATCTTTCCTAACTTCCCTAAATATTTTTTCCATTTATCAAGTAATAGGGTGAATCCACATTTGTTTCAATTTGAAATTTATTCCTAAAGTTTAGTAATTTTACAGGTTACAAAAACAACTTATGGTAAATCTGTTTGTAAAGAAGATCAACCTTTGGTGATGTACCCTTTAATTTTTAAGAATTCTAACTCTGATTTTTAGTACAAGGGCTTTTTGGTGGAAGAGGTCTCTGCTTGCATACATCAAACAGTAAGAACACTAGAACTTACACATTAAAAAACCTATCTGATATTTTCTCTTAATTGACACAATGCCACTTACATTTATTGTTTCTTTTTAGGTTTTTTCCCAAGCAGCTCCCAAGGGTGTGATGCATTTCTTCGCCACAAGATGACTTTGATTTCTCCATCAGTATTGAAGAAATACGGTATTCCCTTTGACAAGGTATATTAGTATTCATCTTACACAAATTAATTTTGTTTGTGTAGGATTTGTATTTAAGAGATAATATATCTTTAACTTCATGTAGAATTTTTAGGATGTGGGTAGAGAAATTCAAATTTATGTTTTATAGCATATCAATTATTTATCTAAATCCTAATTAGAAATTAATTTTATTTCAGATATATTTACTAGAGATGTCATGTTGCTATAGTTCACTTATAATTATACTGAAAATAAAATGTAGCACATTCTGTAAAGTAAGAGGAAGCACTTTTATATTAAAATCTTTTTTATGAGCAACATAATTTATATGTGATCTATTTTCTAAAAAATTCAAAGCAATTATTAGCAATGGGTTGGTTAGAATCAATGACTATGGTAGCACTATGTTGCTTCTAAACACATTTAGACATAATACAATTGAGATTTCATTATGGATAAAATTGCCTGATGATTTAATAATCTGATATTGCTTCTGCGAGTTTTCTGAAGATTAGGTTCTATAAAACTCAGTAGATGCTGGATCTCGCATTCTTTGTGTCTATGGGTGGTTACTGGGTCAGAATTACTGCAGAGCCTGAACATTTTTATGTGAAGCAGCTGAAATGAAAAAAGGGTTTGACCAGATAAATAAAAGCTCCCTCTGAGTCTCGGGAGGATTAAGTACTTGGCTACTTGCGGAAACATTAAAAAATAGCTCTGCCTTCTGTGTTTTTTATTTGACTTTTCTTCCCATAATCCTTGCTATTTTCCATCTTGGAAGCTTTTTGCTTGGGACTAAATCTTTACATTTTCTTCATTTTAGGTTCTTACTGTGACCTTCTTTTTGTGTGTGTGTGTGTGTGTGTGTGTGTGTGTGTGAGGGGGGATTTGTTCAAAGTAGAACTTTTCCAAGTGCCGGAATTCATTCTTCAGCTTGAGGTGATTCCCTGCTCCCTCATAAACTGTCTATGCAGCAGTCACGCACAAGATATGCTTGCTTTTGTGAACGTGCGCTCATCACTGGTTTATTCACACGTTTTTACCATGAAAAAATCGTGCCTCCGAGATGTGCACCGTGGGGGCTGCCTGCGGGTGTAGGGAGGCACTGGGGATGGGCTGCAGAACTGTTGGGGACAGAGGGCACCGGCTGTGCCACTCAGAGGGGCCGCTGTGGCTGCGGGGCTTTGTCCTGTCTGCAGACACCTGGGCACCAGGCTTTTGTGAGTCTCAGACACATCATCATCCAGTGCTTCTTTTAAGTAGTTGGCATCAGCTTCATTAGGTACTTAAGTTGGAATATTACAAGGTAGATGTGAAGGAGTGCAACAGTATCCCCAGAGACACAAAATCCTTCTCTGTTCCTTTGGGGCTGGTGTTAGGTGTTGGCGGTAGCTTAGGGCTGATACGTGAAGAGAAGTTAGGTGAAGCAGCAGGGCTATGGGGTTGGCTCCCTTTCCCCAGGATGGAGGCCTCTGGAGCTTGGAGCTCTTTTCTAGAGGTGGCCGGCACCCTCTTTCTAGGCTGCAGCTCTCTACCAGTACTACGTGGTAGATCACTGGAGGCATTGGGCTCTCATCTGGTGTTTTGTGGATGGCTTCTGTGGAAAGTGGCAAGATGAATTTAAGTCCTGAAATGGTGAAACACTAGTGGCTTTGAGGGTTGATTAGCAGTGGCACTTCCTCATATGAAATTCTGTCACTTCCCGTTTCTATCTCAATACAGGGCCTGTCATGACACTGTATTCCTCAAGGAGCACATTTCCCTGCTGATGATAACGTAACATGTGATAGGGCAGCAAAATGGTATCACAGGCTACAGCATTAAACCTCCTGAGTTCATCCCTGATTCAATCACATAATTTTTCTGAGCTTTAGTTTCTTCAACTGTAAAATGGGGATAAAAATAGTGACTACTTAATAGGGTTATTGTGATAAGAAAGACAATCTGTAGACAGAGCTTTGCATAGTATATGTTACATAGTAATGTACTCTTCCTCTTCAACTCAGCCCTCTTCCTGTAGGTAATAATGTCTCAGTTGGATTACAGTTTTTCCTTCTTTCTTTGCATTTGCCGTATTCATACATATGTATGAAAAACATAAGTGTAATAAACAGCTGATGTCTGCATTTAGATTATATCCACTCTCTTCTTCAGCTTCTTTTATGGTATGAGATTGGAACTGACCTGTTTTTGGAAATGACAGGGGTCTCAAATTTAGAGTTGCATTCTGTGGAACAGGTGCTCTTTTTTTTTTTTTTTTTTTTAAGTCATGGCATGAGCAGGACTTTTTAGGTAGGGTAGAGAAGGTTTGTAGGTAGGATTCCATGGAGCAGGAAGAGTAGTTTTCTTATTCCAGTGGCAGCAGTCCTACCCCTCCTCTCACCTTTATGTGGGAGCAGGTTGAGTTTTGTTTCATTACGTAGTATAAGAAACAAGCACCTAGATAATTAATTAGATTCAGTGAGACCAGGACAGGAGAGGGCTGGGTTATGTTCTTACATGGCTCAGATAATGGAGCTAGAACCGTGCTGGGCACTGGTAAGCCTGTCTCTGCTGCCAGGTGACAACTGAGCTCATTGTAGCAGAACATCTTCTGGGGTTTCTTTGGCAGGGGACAATGGTGTTATGAGTTACATTTCAGAATTGTTGAGAAAAAGAATACTCTCCCCTGTCTCCAGTACCATTTTAGCATCCATAACATGGCAAAGCTAATCAGTGGTGAGAGGTATCAGAAGAGTGATTATTCCTGAGGTGGGAGTAGGGGATGGGCTGGGGGTGGTCTAGGATAGGGATGAGGGAGCCCTCTTGGGCGATGAAAATAATAGGGGCATGGACAATTATCCATAGCACCATTATTCCTAGTGCCCAGAGTGGAAATGACCAAATGTCTATTGGCTGATGAATGAATAAACAAATGTGATATATTTTATATAATGGAAGATTATTCAGCCATAAAAGGGAGTGAAGTACAGATACGTGCTACAACCTAGGTGAACTTTGAAAAGTTTATGCTAAGTGGAAGAATTCAGTAACAAAAGATCACAAATTATATGATTCTATTAATATTAAATGTCCAAAATAACAGATCTGTAGAAACAGAAAATAAATCAGGGTTTTTTTTTAGGGCTGGGATGAATGAGGGGCTTGGGGATGACAGCTAAAGGGTGAGGGGTTTCTTTTTGAGGTGATAAAATGTTCTAAAATTAATTGTGGTGATAGTTGCATAACTTTGTGATATACTAAAAACCAACAAATTATACACTTGAAATGAGTGAATTATGTGATATGTGAATTACATTTCAATAAAGTTGTTACTGAAAATAAAATACTTTAAAAAACACTATGTGTAGATACAGATATTTGTCCAAAGAAACAAAATGCTACAATTGTAGCTATTACTATTTCAGTGTCTTCTCCCTCCCAGAGATAATTTTCTGAGGTTGATATATTTAATAAATGTATTTCTTCCTTGGATTTTTATCATAAAAAAAAGAAAATAATAGGGGCATGGGATATATGGGTATATGCATTTGTCAAAACTGATCAAACTGTACATTTATTATCTGAGCATTTTATTATATGTACATTATATCTCAAAATATAAATTGTATTAGAGTCAGTAGGATAATTAAAAGTGTGGTTTTACAACTTTTATTATCAGAGCTAGCAGAGAATACAGGTTCTGAATGTGAACATACAGCATTTGCTAAATACTTTGACAATATGTGTCAAGGAGAAACATTGCTTTAGTGGCCAAATCCTATGAGTATTTTTATATTACTTTGCAGCAACTTAAAGAATTTAAAGATATAAGGAGTCCATCCTATTGGGTGCTGGGTTAGAAACATTTTAAGGTCAGATAATCCAAAACAAATATGAACAAATTTACTTGAATAACTTGAAGATACCTTCAATTAAAATGTAATAGCTTTGATTATGGATTGTTTGATTGAATTCAAGTGCCAGCAAGCCACATCCTATCTAGGAAAGTCTTTTAAACGTTTCCTGAAAAAGCACTATTAAAGGATTAAGTAATGAATCTGGTGGAACTCTTTTTGGTATTGCACTGATATCATGACTTTTTTTCTTTGTTTTTTAATGACAAATATATTTTAATTGTATTCATAATTTGGGAAGTCTTATTTTTACAAAATATTATGTTTCCTACCTTGCAGATAACCCAGGAGGCTGGAGAATTCATGATCACTTTCCCATATGGCTACCATGCTGGTTTTAATCATGGTTTCAACTGTGCAGAATCTACAAATTTTGCTACTGTCAGATGGATTGACTATGGAAAAGTTGCCAAATTGGTAAGCTATGCCTCAAAAAGAAAGCATAAATTAAATGTGTATTCTGGTTATTTTAGTAGGAACCCTAAGATCCTGTGCAGCATTTATTTTTCCTTACTGGCGCTGTGTGCCTCTCACCGTAGCAATTCACTTCAGGCTAGATACATTTATTTTACATAATCAGTATTATCAATTTTAGCTGAATTTGTCTGTTTTGAGATTAATGTGGAACAATTTACCCTGATAGGTAATTTGATGCGATGTGTATTTGCTTTTTATCTTGAGGCCTCCAGTTGGTGTTTTGCAAGATTTTCCAGTGGCATCATGTGGCTTCATGTTAGGTAGAGTCAGATCTCTCCCTGTTCGCGATCAGTTTGTGGCTTGGAAAACAACACTTTACAGAAGGGAGTGTCTGATAAAATTGTAGCAAGAGATGGAGGGAGGTTGGTAGGAAGAAATGATTAAAACTGCCCTTAGTGCAGAAATGAAATTCTTGAAAGTAATAATGTAGAACACATTTTAACAGGAAATACATGTTCATGTTAAATTTGGTATAAAATTTTGCATCTCCTGCCCAGTGTATTTAATTTAGCTCACATACTGTGTATTTTCATTCACAGGCAATAACTTCTATTAAATTTAATTACTTTCCCCCTGTGGTGTTAAATAGAAGACATCTTCAAAGTGATGGTGGTTTCTACTAGGTTTGATTCCTTTCCTGTGGCTTTTAAGGGAAAGGTGCAGGCTGGCAGAGGGCAGCTTCTAAATGAAACTGTGTGTTTTACAGAGATGTAAAGTTGACATAGATTTAGCAGAAAATGATAAATAAAGTGTATGTGGTGTTATTTTGGCCATTGCTTGGCTCAATTGAATGTCTCCTTTCATTCTACGTTGATAAACCTTACATTTGGAGCCATTAGGTGAACTTAGATAGAAGTATATTTAGGGAAGACAAATCTTAATTTACGTGTGTATTTAGAAAATTGCATAATATATTAAAAAATAAGTAAAAGTATAGCCCGTTGGCAGCCCAGGAGTCATTTGAATACATTCTTGACGTAAAGGAAAGCCCCTGGTATTAGAAGACTTTTTCTGTTCTAAGTAATTTCTATTTATGCTGAGTAATTCAGAAAGGAACAGAACTGTACTACTACTTCACATTGTACATTCTGTGTATTCTAAGAAAACCTCATAAGAAATAGAAAACTCAGTGTGTACCTTGGCCAACCACTGCATTGCTTTTGTGGAAATGTAATGCTTGCATCTGCCTTGAAGCAGTGTCTTGGCCACGAGGTTATAACAAGGTCTGTTATTTTATAGTTTGCACCTTTACTTACAGATATAAGTCAGCTATCACAGCTGTTCGGAGTCACCACAAATATTAATTCTTGTTTAATACAGGTCTCAGAAGTAGCCCATGATGTTGGCCAGAATAGGGCATTCCAGCCTTGGGGAGAAGCTAAACTACCATGTACATTGGAGTTGCATTTCCACATTTCCTTGTGGAAGTAGAGTCGGTGTGGAGTGGAAGGAAGAGAGGCTGGTAGTGCTCCTCCCTGAAATCCCAGCTGACAGAGCCCATCACTGCTGTGGGAATGTGAAGTGTTACACTGTGGTGGAGGAGCTGGATCTGACAACCAACTTTTCTTCTTTGCCTAGCCATGTAACATTAGGAAAGTCATTTATTCTTCATATATAAATTAGAAATACCTCTCTACCCTGTAGGCTTATTGCAAAGAGAAAAGAACTTAGGTATGTGACTATCTGTTTATTCAGTTTAGTAAGGGCTTTGACCGTTTTGTTTGGTTCTGGGTACAAAATATTCAATGCTGTAATGCAGTTTTGGCCAGCCAATTAAAAATTGCTGTAATTGAATGTATTTGAGACTTTTTGAGTTATGGCCACCCCTTACTTCCTTTGGCCAAGTGATGTCATCTGAGAATACATTAGTTGTCTCTTGCTGCTGTAGCAAATTACCACAAACTTTGTGTTTAGAACAATAGCTGTTTATTATCTCATGGTTCTATAGGTAATAGGCCCAGCATTGGTCTCACCAGTTAAATGTCAAGATGTTTGCAGGATTGCATTTCTTACTGAGACTCTGGGAAAGAATTCATTTCCTTGCTCCTTCGGGTTGTTGGCTGAATTCACTTCCTCGCAGTTGTAGGACTAAACGTTCAGATTTGCTGCTGACTGTGAACCAGGGGCTGAACTTTTCTCCTAGAGGCCTCTCTAGTCCTCCTGTGCAGTTCCTGCATTTCAGAGCAGGCAATCCGCAAAATCCCATGTGTCATGTAAGATAGCGTATTCATAGATCTCTGGGATTAGGATGAGGACATCTTTGTTGGGGTGCATGAGGGGAAACATCTGCCTACTACAGGGGGTACCAATTTATCGTTGACATAATACATTTAGAATCTGCTTTGGGCTGGGCACGGTAGCTCATTCCTGTAACTAGCACTTTGGGAGGCTGAGGCAGGAGGATTGCTAGAGGCCAGGATTTCAAGACTAGCCTTAGCAATGGAGTGAGATCTTGTCTCTACAAAAAATAAAAACAAAAATTAAGAAAAAAGAGTATTTTGAGTCATGTAACCAATTTTAGTTTTTTTGCATAAAACAGGAAAATAACCTTATAAACAGATAGTTTTGAATGTTTCACTAAAATATCACATGCTTTCTTAATTTATATCATCAATATTAATATTTTCATGTCTATTCCTGGATAATAAATTATCTTACATTATGGTAAGCTGAGTTAGCATTTCCCCCTCCAGATTTTGGTATCTTTAATCAGTTATTTGACACCTATTTTTGATCTCTAAGTCTGATTCATTAGGTAACCTTATGAATTTACTGTATTGCATGTATATGTACTTTCTAATCCCTGGCAAATTTGTGCACTGGGCATAAATTTATGTGTTTTGCTGGAAACTAATGTGTAGTGAATTAATGAATTGCTCTCAAAAGACTTTTAGCATTGAGGATGCCCATGTTTGTCTTAATTCTTTGTCTTCATCAGTTTGTTCTAAATGATAACTATAAAAAAGTCATTGTTCATAAGTGATAATGAACAGTACTTTTATAATTACTATGAAAATATGAGCACTTTTTCATAATGAGGCATTGGTGATGATGCCACCTGCTTTACCTGTCACATGGGGTTTACTGAACATGTATAAGTATCTAATAAAGTATTTGTCGTACAGCATTAAATAAGCAAAACAATGCAGAGTGTGGAGTCTGCATACGTTATATTACATGTGCATATATGTAATCATAAACACTATGAAATATATATATATAAAAAAATATAATTTTGTGTAATACAAACCAGTATTTTTAATTGGGTGATTCAGAAAAGAGCTGTTACAGAAGGCAATTTTTTTTTAATTAAAAAAAAAAACAAGTAGGTTTTGAAAAGATAACCTCATGTTCCCCGATAGGGACCTTTTGATCATAAGCCAACAGGCTTTGTCAGTAGGGACCTTTTCAGATGCCTCAGATGGCTGGTAGATGGGGAAGAAGTTCTACTTACGGAGACTAGGCTTATCTGCTGTGTGCCAGGCACCATGTGTGTTTCTATGAATTCATCACCCGGGAGTGCATTGTTCCATGAGAACAGGGGTGAGAGTAAGAGCTGACACTGACAGAGGTTCAAGGTGTGCTTCCTTTGCTGTTGGCTTCTTGACTTCTGCTGGTGTCCCTGGAGCAGGACTGGAGAGGGGGCTTCTCTGGCTTTCATCAGAATCTGTTACTGACCTATTGATATGTGATAACTTGTTCAAGAAATCTTCCTGGCTCTTAAGATTTGGGTACATTTGATTAGAAATTTCATTATTTGTGTAAAGCTCAGATACACTTCCAAATTTTAGCAAATTCCTGGATGTTTGATATTCTCAGCTGAATTATTGTATTTGGGAGATATTTCTGTCCCTGTGGGTAAATTCTCTGTTTTTTTGGTCTTTTAGTTCAGATGGTCCTTTTTCAGAGTATCCATCCAAACTACCTCATCTCTCAAACAGACTTTTTGTGTGTGTGTATGGGTTGTGTGGAAGATCTGGGGAAAATAGGCAGAGGAGGGAGTGAAGGGACATTGACCTTTTAGTTTTGGTAGTGACGTAGTTTGACCATCCCTGTTTCTAATACTCTGATAATGGCCCAGGCTTTACCATTCTTTTCATTTCTCTCTTTGCTTCTGTTTTCCGTCAATGAGGATCATTCTGCTCTCTTGTCTTAACCTGCAAAATATAGCATAGCCAAATCCTGTAAGATGCTCCAGAACAAAAGGGCCTCTCATTTAGCAGGAACCACTGACCTAAGAAGGCAGTGTGTTGTCTTAACCTGTAAAATATAGCATAGCCAAATCCTGTAAGATGCTCCAGAACAAAAGGGCCTTTCATTTAGCAGCAACAACTGACCTAAGAAGGCAGTGTGTAGTTTTCCCCCATTTCTCTAATCAAAGACAAGATCATTACTGAAAAAAATTGAGTGATGTTTCAGGTACCCACATGTTCATTTGCTGCTGACGGGCAGAGGTCAGATTTGGTGAGTGCCCAGTGAGTTCCTCCTGTGCTACATGTGTGTACAAAGAAGAAAGACACATATATTGTCTTCAAGGAGCTTTCAGAAAGAACAGAAGGACTTTTACTGAAACTCTACTTGCAAAGTTGTAGTATTAATGGACCATACCACCTAGTTCTTTGTTTTAGGAATCTCTGTAGCTTTGAATGCTGGCATAACAGAGTGAAATTCAATTATTTTTTCTTGATAGAGATTTAAAAATATGTAACAGCTCGTTTAGCAGTTGAAATAAGACATTTGTACATATTTGAGATGCCTGTTTTCTGTTTCTGGAGCATTCTTTCCTTCTGTGGTGAAATGAAGTCCGTGATTACTCTGCGCAGCTGCTGCCGTGACACTTACAGGTCTGCTTCCTGGCTAGGTTGGATCAAAGCGCTGGCCTGCAGGTTGTATTTCATTTTTCCGTTTGCTGGGATGAAGTGCAGTTGTTTGATGTTAGGTTTGATGGATTTGTTTGCCACTGCATTCATTAGCTTCACATCAAAAAACTGACAGGCTGTTAAATGAAACTTTGGCTTAGATTTTCAGCTTGACTGTTTGGAGACATTTGTGAAGATATTTTGTTTTTGTGTTTCAGCAGCCTCAAGCACTATGATTGTCTCAAAGGGAAGAAAAGTTATTTACTGTACTGATTTTCTTGAGTAAAAAAATCATTGTGTTGGGGACAGTCATATCTCGTCTATACCGTCTGAAGCAGTGTATTTATTACAGTGTGTGCAGTGAAAGAGACTTACTGTGTCACGATAAATAATTTTATCTTATTAGAAGGAAAGGTAATAGTTGGTGACACGAAAATGGTATCTTTTATTTTGCATGAATTTTAAGTGATCATATTAACATGATATGTCAGAAAGTTGAAAAATTGTACTGCAGAGCTGGGAATGTTCTCTTATAAACTCCAGGAGTACTACCTTATTATGTAATTTTAAGACATTTTGATATTTGAGTCCCCAAATGTTTGAACAAGTTTAAAAAGAGATGATAGAGTTTTAAAACTGATTTCCCTTTAATCTGGCAAGGGTTTCAACTGTTAAATTGTCTCGCATGTAAGTGCCATGATATGGGTTCATTCTATTTTATATTTCAATTCTTTAAAATTAAATTAGATATTTCTTAAATCTGGTAGCATCCTTCCAGAAAATCTTTAATCTTGGGCAGTCTTTATCGAAACAATCAGGAATCATTTTTGTGGTGAGTCTCTAGGTTGTATTTTAATATGCTTTTGATCACAAAATACTAGTGTAGTGATATTTCTCTGTTCCTGTGACATATGAAGGAAAGAAAATATAGACTGCTTTGAATATTGTTCATTTAACAGTTCTTGGCATTTCAATTTTGAGTGCTGACATGACATATATAATATGAACTTCGTGAGTATGGGGATTGTATGTTCTGCATTGGTTTTTTTTTTTTTTCAATTTTACCTATACTTTTTGCTGTTTCTGATTCCTGGGTTCTGATGGAACAGTGTAACAAAGCTGACGGGTAGTTTTGCTGCCTTTTTTTTTTTTTTTTTTGCTTTACTTTTAAGAGCATCTATAGGTTCACAGCAAAATTGAGAGGAAAGTATAGAGATTCCTCATATTCCCGTTCTCCTCACATGTGCATAGCCTCCTGCATTATCAACATCCTTGACCAGAGAGGTGCACTTGTTACCAATGAAGAACCTACATTGATGCATCATTATCCCCCAATGTCCATAGGTTTTTTAAAATTTTTATTTTTTAAGGAAACCCAAGCAACCAGACCAAAGTCCATAGTTTACGTTAGGACTCGCTTTGGGTGTTGTACCTTCAATGGGTTTGAACAAATATACAATGACAGGCATCTGACATTGTAGTATCATACAGAGTGATTTCACCACCCTCTGAGTCCTCTGTGCCTTTTCCACAGGACGTGTGTGTGTGTGTGTGTGTGTGTGTGTGCGTGTGTGTGTGTCTAACTTGCTAGCCCCTGAGAAACCTCTAACTTTGGAGAGTTAGTGTTCACACATCTGGAAGAAGTATTAAGAGATACGAAGAACATAGTCACATTATGTCCTCTTTTTATACTGCTAAAATATTGAGTTGTGGGATTCAGGATATTTGAAACTTGAAGAAGTCTGAGACTTCAGGTATGATGGTATCAAACCAGTTGGTTAGTATATATCGTGCCTATGGGAGAGATGTCTGGAGCTGAAGTCTGGAGCTAGGGAGCCTGATTTCATTTGTTGTTAACTTGCATTTGCTGCATTATGGGATTTGAAAGGAAGTGATAGGCCTCATGATGCTGGTGTTTAGTTCTTAACCTGAAATCAAGGCATTATCTGCTTTTGAGTCTATAGTTTGTCAGTACCTTAAGAAAAAGTAAATTTGCCCTTTGAATAACTTTTATACTCTATTGAGAATTAGTTTGTTTTTAATTCAGTCTAGTTTCTTATAGTTAAGTACAATAGTATTAATAGCTGACATTGTCTCCAGTATGTCAGATTGAGCTCTGGGCACTAGATACATGTTACTTTTCTTGATCAGCGATGATGCACAGATATAATTGCTTTCTGTCCTATACTAGCCCCCTTTTTCCAGTGTCTCATTCAGGGTGGTCCTGTGTCTTATGTTGAACTGGACAGAGTTTGGGATGAAGAATAAAATAAGGCATTGAGGCCTGGCTTAGATGTAGGTTTGCCCCCAATGTCATATATCCTTCTGGACTCATTTTTCTGGGTGTAATGGCTCAAATAAGTGCCAGAAGAGAAAGCAGTGGGCAGAACATGAGGTGACGTTTGAGAGAAGCAGGCTGGCCAACCCCTGGAGGGAAGGAGGGGCTGGTGGGAGAGTCAGCAGGGCTCTGGGCACCCCCCAGAATTTGCCATAGTCAGATGCCCTGGCTTCCCACAGCTTCTCATCTTTTCCTACAGTGGCTTTCCTGCCCCTCCACCCCTGCAGCTTCTGCTGAGGTGACACACAGTGGTTTATCTCATAAGGACCCTTACCTCACATGAGGGATTGTCAGGTGTGTGCTGCTGGGGTTGGTGCAGCAGCTCAGCGGCCTCATGAGGTCTATGCACTTCCCATCCTTCAGATTCACTGTCTCCGGGCAGGCTTGTCTTGATAGCTGTGCTTACTTCAGACATCTTGCTGCCAAGGGCAGGAAGGAAGGAGACAGTGTGAGAACTAGGCTCACCTCCATTTGCAAGGAAACATCCTTTTATGTCCCGTGACCAACTGTTAGAAAGGCTGCAAAGATAACTGGCGAGTAACTGGTGTTTTTAGGGAAAGGGGCTCTGCCTGTGGAGAAGAAAGAAAAAGATGGAAGAAAGAAGGAAAAAGATTCATTGACAGAATCTGCCACAATATGTGCTTCTGATACCTCATTTCGTCACACATTTCTGAAATCTTCCTGTGACTCTGGTGGATGCTATGGGTTGAGAGCCATCGGTTTTTAGGGAGTTAAATTAGGCCCTTGTTGTTTGGGTTGGGGTGCTTCTGCATGTTGTATTTTTTCCCACCAGTATGAATTTTGAGTTCTAAAACATCAACTTAATATCTGTTTATAAATTGGAGATGTGTAATGTTTTGTACATATCTCATTTACAACCTCTTTTCTGCAAGCGTTTATAGGTATTGTGAGCACATATAGAACTGTGCCCACATATTTCATGGATATCAAGTAAACATGCCCTGTAGTACTTTTAAGGGGAGGAAGGGAGAGTGTTGGAAAAGCAATAGAGTAGATGGTAAATATAGGAATGCACTGTATATACCTCTTTCTGAAGAGCTTAGGAAATGTCCTGATGGCTGTCTGGAGTGCACGTAAAAAACCCAACATAATCACCTGGGTCTGTGTTGGAATTCTGGTTCTGTGTGGAATAGTTGTGTGACCTGGGGCAAATGACATGTCTCTGTGAGACTTAGTTTTCCTACCTGTAAAGAGGGTGTTCACTTGTGCCTCACAGGTTGTGGTGAGGATGTGGGCAGTGATGGGAGAACTCGCCTAGCACCATGCCGCTCTCACCGAGTACTTATTTAGGAAGTGATTCACTCTGGGTCATTTTTATGTCAGGGAACTCCCTGAATACTAATTTGGGGGAAGACTGGTGGAGTTCAGGCCTGAGGGGCTGAGAAGCAGTGTCTGTGGGGACAGTGTTTGCAGGGTAGGTGCCAACAGCAGGCTGGGCAGATGGATGTTAGATAGTTTTACTGACTTCTCATTCGCATTCAGGTGTGCTTTTTGCCAAAATGAAGGCAGTATGAAAAGAAGTGCCAATAACTTAACAGTGTGTTTTTGTGGACCAGATTGCGGAGAGAAGGAATTTGAAGGAGCTGTTGCTTATATCTTCAAAAACACAGTGTAGCTCTTGTGTCCTGTGTTGAATTTGAAAGGCTGTGTTTTGTAATCCCTTGGAAAAAACACCATCCTGGACGGTAGAGATTACTGCTAAGCTTTGACTGTATTTCACACATCAGTTTCATATACTTCAAGTTTTTTGATTGAATTAGGAAAAACTCAATTAGTTTCTATTAACTGTTTAAAATGTTTATAAAAGGTATTTTTGTAAGGCCTAATAATCATTTTCAGTGATTTTTGGCAGCATATTATTCCCAGTTCTCAGGAATGCATATTCAGGGTTGTCGTTTGATTTTGAGTGTTAATTTTTTAAAAAGGTGACCGATTTGTTGATTATTGAAATAGCAATAAAACTTGTTTCTTTGAAAGTAAATAAAATTGAAACAGTTTTGAAACTTATATAATGATTTCTTTTCTTTTTAAAAATCATATTAGTAAAGATAAAAAGAAAATTCCCCGTGCCTGGAAGAGTGTAGCTGGTGGAGTGGGCACCGTGTTCTTTTGGCAGGAGTATGATTGGAGTAAGCATCCTGAAGA